CTCCAATTTTTAAAGGAAAAACTCTTCGTATTTTAAGGAGACTTTTTCAAAAAAAATGACGGAAATTGCCGCATTTTTGAAGGACACTTCCATAAAATCTGGGTAGTTTTTCCTCAAATGTGGGAGGCTGATGTCAATTTTACACGGTTTTCCATTATTTTGGTAACAGTGATTGTGATTCGGACGGATTGGGACGGGGGACGCCAGTCCACAGTGAATGGGAACATGACGACGTGACGACGTGACGAGCTGTGGTCACGCCCGTGACGGGCGGCCCTACGTCGTCACGCCTCGGCCCCCACCCTTCGGCCTGGGCGTGACGCGGAGCGCTAGCACACAACAGAATAGAAAGCTCTCCAGACAGACACTGCAATGCAGGGCGGCTACGGAAGAAGTGAGGTGAGGTGAGGTGTGGTGCCCCCCCCCCCTCCTCATTCTTTCTCGCTCTTTTACACACATCCCCTTTCTCCCTTTCTCTCTCACTCCCAGCCGGGTCGACGCTACGTGCACCGCGGCACGCGCCGCCCGCTTGTTAGGCAACCCATTTAACTCGCGCCGGGCGCCCCTCCGACAGACGATGCGTTTACGGTCTTCGCCGCTCGAGCTGTTGGTAAAATGGAAAATCGATGCACAGTCACTGAATGCGAAGGAAAATGGAGGCATTTGTCAGAAAAATTCTGTCAACATTAAATACAAGTACACACACACGGAAAGAAAAGATTCGCTGAGTCAGCTAATATATTGACTGGTACGAGGGGGCCACCACTCGCGTAATCCTGTGTACAGATGAGGGTGTAATCCCTATGTAATCCTCATGAATTCAGTGTAATACTTGACCAAATTTTAAACCATTATCACTAGATTTCACCTTATTGTCCAAATTTAACGGTTTTAGAGCCAGGAATTCAACAATATTCATGTGTAATCCCTCAAAATTCACGTGTAATCTCCGTAATCACGTAATCCTGTGTACATCCTAAATTGAAGTGGTGGCCCCCTCGGACTGGTATCTGGACAGACAAGCACATAAACTTCTGTAACCACTATATTGTCTACTCTAATCAATCATTGGCTGTGCCAGTCAAAGATAAGTTGTATGAAGTAATGATTTGCCTGCATCAGTAAGGTAGACCTCGAATGATTTAGGTAAGGGATAAGCTCTCACAGCTAATTTTTGACTGGCACAGCCAATGATTAATGATTGATTAGAGTAGACAATATAGTGGTTACAGAAGTTTATGTGCTTGTCTGTCCAGATAGCAGTCAATATATTAGCTGACTCAGCGAATCTTTTTTTTTCCGTGCATATGGTATCCTGGAAACAAGGCAAAATGCCTTGCATAAAGGGCTAATACGACCGAAAACATACAAGGAAATTTTCCTCAGCATAACAAAAATCGTTGAAATATAGAAAAAGTTTTCGTTAGATTCACAAAATTTTGCTTGAATTCTCTAAAATGAATTTCTTAGAATTTAGAAAAATTGTCCCTCGCCATTTGGTGTGAAAAAAACTGTCGATCAGCATACCAGAGATGCGATCTCAAAGCACACCATACAAAGCCCATGGCTAAACAGGAATGCTCTCGGATATGCTGGTTTAGCAGTGCGCGAAGCGGCATTATCAGTGCATGTTCCATATGGCTTATTTATAAGTCACAAAAATAGTATGTCTCACACCAAGCAAAAATGGCCTCGAATATCTCCAGACCCCACTTTAATATGACCTTACCCGAACCCACTCCTGCTGCGCCGCCGCGCCGCTGCAGAGCGCTTCGGTACAGCGATGGTGGCGGACGTGCGAATGAACGCCTCGCTCAAAGGTAGAAAGTGGATTAGACAAGGGCCGGTAAGGGCGCACTGGCAGCGCACGCCCCGCCCCGCCTCTCACCCGCCAAGCAGGGACTGGACAACGAGCCGTTCGTGCTTTCGCTTTCGGCAGCGCATGTCGTCCGACACGTCGTCATCGCGACACCACGAGCGCCAGGACCAACGTCGCTGCCCTCCCATGCGTCGCATCTCATTTAAGAGCGACATCGCGGTAGCGGTCCCCACAAGGGGAATCCCAAGGGGATTTGGCTCAGGCGCAGTATAATTGCTCCTTAATCCACGCAGATGGCGATTGCCGGCCAAATTGTCTTTTTTAGTCATTTTCAAGGGGCTGTAAACGAAACCGACCCCTCCCTATGTAGCGGGATACAAAATTCAGCACAAAATTCGACGGGCGATCATCATCTACGGAGAGGGCTTAATCCAGAAAGTGCTGCCAATTGTTCGACGATATTGTTGCCCAGTTCAGCCTGTGCAAGCTGCCATAGCGCCTTGTAGGTAGGCAACATCTTGCCTAAAGTGCTTGCGTGTACGGCGGGGTAGCCTCCCCGGAGTCTCGCAGGCGAGGCGACGAGTTCCCGTAATTTGCTGAGAATGCCTTCGGACACCCAGAACACGGATGTCCCCGACAACGGCGTGCTCACCGCGCGGGAGAGAAAGGTAAGGTGGCCATACAGGGAGTTGGACGTCCTACGTCCTACGTGCGGCTTTAGGCTTTGCGGCGATGATAGGGCCGGTCTTTCAAACACACCGGCGGGCTGAGGAGAGGGGTAGAAGGAGAAGGGGGAAGGAGAGGAACGAAAGGAAGAGGAGGGATGGAGAGGAAAGGAAATGTTTAGAAAGACAGGAGGAAGGCTAGCCGGCGTCGGAATGGAGGAGGACGGCAATCCCGTTATCCTGGTCAGGAGCGGGAGAAGTGAGGAAGGGGAAAGAGGCGTACGGGAGGGGGGAGGGGGGAGTGGACGCCGGCATGGGCAGCGGGACGACGCCGCAAGGGCAGGGGCACCACCGTTCAGTCGGTCACCGAGACGCTCCCGACGTGCATCCAGTGCGTGGAGGTTGGTTAGTGCGAGATCGAGTGAGTGAGTGAATGTGAGGGAAAGCGGGAGAGGCATGTCCCAGGACGAGGACAATCACTGGCCCAGAGCGCCGGCAGTGTAGCACCGCGCACCCTTCTTGTGAAGGGAGACCGGCGACGCAGACCTCCACCTCGATCGTGTGTAAGGCCTGACTTTACAACGCCTACGGAGTGTGGAGAAAGGGTAAAAGGCAGTCGTGGCTCCGAGTTGATCGACGACATCGCAGCCCTCAAACGGCTTCCGCCACGAGAACGACGGCCAGGGTCAAGGACACCGTCAACAGACAGGTGAGCTGTTCGAGAATTTTCGAGAATTTTGAACGGCGGCGAGGCGGCGCGGTGCGGCGCGGGCTCGGCAGGGGGCGCGCCGGTTGTTGCACCGTTACCGACCGGGTTCGCGAAACCTGCTGCGACCGCAGCACAGCGGAGCCGGGAACAAGACGCACGCCTCGCGACGCCACGCGGCTGCACGGTTCGAGGGTCAACAGAGCGAGCGATTCGAATTCATCCTGTACACTTAAATCTTTCTGAATTCTGTTTCTCATAAGACTACTTACAGAATTTTAAGCAGCCATAGTTATGCACAACTTTGTATGCACTATTGTGCATAATTAACGATTAACTACCCCCACTGTGAACAAATTCGTGCGTAATTCTGTAAACACTGTTATTCAAATACTGTGACGTCACACTCTACGTAATATGAGTTGTGTCACATTATTTGGAGTATCATGTCACATTCGTTGAAACGCTACATATCCTTGTAACGCTCGGCCCTCACGGACTTGGTCAAGGCTCGGTGCATGGTAGGCGCACCTATGTCACGTCATAAAATATGTGACATGATATTTTAAATAACGTGACACAATTCACACATTATATTATACAGTATGTGACGTCACAGAATTTGAATAACAGTGAAACATTTACAAAATTAATCATGATTTTTATCTGCGTATTGTTAGGACCGCTCGGTCGGGCACGCGTATCGCGCGCCACTTTGTAGTTTCGTGCTGGGGGTCGGTGGCAGCCGAGCAGCGGGGGCGCGGTACCTGTCAGCCAGCCAAGTCTAGTGACGAGCGAGAGAAAATGCGACGGCGACGTGATCGAGCACTCGGGCAAGAGGTTTTCAACTGTCGTAATAGTTAGGAGAATAAAGGTCTGCTGGTTGAACTTGTGGCGTGCAAACGAGTCCTTTAAAAAAAAACAAGGGAGTTCATGAAAACCTAAATGAATGCAGCAGATAGTGTGCACATGATCACGAATGGAGGAGATATTATGTACATGACCAAGTACACACTCCAGCACATACCTTTCAGCATAGGACTTCACGTACTGCACTGGTAAAATAAATGTAGAAAGTTGCACACCAAATGATGTGTAGTTTCTAGTCTGCAGGAACTGAACACTTCATGATGTCAAACTGAACTATGTCAATTGGTGTGCAGACATTTGACATTTCGGTAACGTTTTGAAAACCAGTGACTAGTGTTTAATATTTGCAGAATACGATGTGTGCAGTTCAGTTGAACACCTTGTAATGCGAAGTTGCACACTTGGGTGTGCAATACTTGCACACTTGTTTTACCAGTGTGTACACAGCCATTAACACATCACCTGCATACATGGGCATGTGCACACGATCTCCTACATAACATGTTCATTAATACACACAATATTCTGCGTTCATGTAGGTATTCCGGAGATAACGCATTCATGTACACACTTGGGTATTTAGAGTTGCACATTCGCAGGGATGGGAACATGAGGTGCCGTGACCAGTAGGCAAGCCCACCCGCGCACCTGCATGTATACCCTGTACGACTCTATAAGTAAAGTTATGATCGTGTTCGCGATTTTAAAATTTCATTTACAAATCAAACTTGTACTGTAAATTTGCGAACACTTTTAACGGTGGCCCAGGTATCTAGCCTTGGGAACAAATGGAGCAATCTGGCAGCCCCCACCCCGGCGTTTTTGGTGGTGTACAATTCACACCACGTTGACCCGACCTCCGACTTACACCACTCTCCACCTTGACTGCGGTACAGGTCGGTGTATGACCTGCAGTTATGTAACGGGGTGGACCTGTCCGCTGAGCTGCACTCATAATGCAACATGTGCGTCACACATAAGCTAAAGGCGGATTTGTCGCCAGACACGAGGTACGAGGTGTTGCCCCTATGGATATTTAGTGAAATGTATCTGTGGGCTCGAGTCTGGACTGAAAACTACAATACCCAAGTGCACTGAAATTCGAGTGCTGAACTGCTTAGCACTTTGAAAAGTGCTTGTTAGACGCGAAGTGTTCTGCACTTCTAGGTAGGGCGCCGGCGTTTTAAACACTTAAAAGTGCACTAATACAAAGTTGAACACTTATAAGACCACAACTACCAACACCAAAGACCCAAGTGCGTAAATGTCGCACATTGGTAGGTGTGTAACGGAATTTCTTTTCCCTACGTGCCCTTCCATAAACAAGGCCCCCTCCACTAACTTGTCCAGTTCACACACTCCCTCCCTCCCCCTCTCACTTGCTCCGACCCGGACCCGACCCTTGCGCACGACAGCCCTTCCTCAGTCGCTGAGGTTCGACCGGGTGGAGCGGGGCGGGCGGGCGGACGTCTTGATGTGCAGTGATATGCAGTGAGCAAGTCAGCTCTGTAAGATTTTAACGGTTAGCGGCCGCGCTCCGCTTCTCGGACATCTGCCTCAAATTAGCACAAAGTGAGTAACAACAAGTGTTAGATAAACTGTGCTCCAAAGCGAACGCATACGTTGGGGTGTGGACGGTAGCTGCTGACAGTAGTAAATTTCAATAGAAAACCTAAATGGTTTTCTACCTGGTTTTCACTATTGTTTGTTTTATTCTGGTCAGACCAGATTGCTCTTCCCACTTTTGTAGTTGTCATGTGCGTGCGGGCGGGTTTGCCTGTCGTCGCTCTTATGGACAAAGCTAATGCGAACTCTGTGCGAACTCTGTGCGAACTCTGTGCGACCAGCACTTGCTGGGACGCAGGGGATGGGCCGACTGGGGCCTGACTGCGTGACCCGAGTTACGGGTGGCTCCAGTTCGCCACGAACAAGCAGTCGTGATGACCCTTTTTGAAGTTGAAGTTGAATGGGCGTGTGGTCGAGTGCATTTCTCACACGAGACCGTAGGGCGCCTTGGTAAGCGACAAGACGGTAGGCCAGCCCGCACCCCACAAACACGCCTAAATTAAGTCCAGCATTATGAATTAAGTACAGTATTGTGAATTAAGAACAGTATTAAGTATCATTTAGTACAGTATTACTAGGAAAAAAAAAGACGTCGCAAATCTTCCACCGTGCACTGACGCGATTCTTATTTCATCACTATTGGACCAATGGTGTAAACTGAGAAGAACTATTTCAAAAAGACTGAAATTGAGTGATGAAAGAATTAATGTTGATACAACTTGGCAGATAGAGGATTAGTCCATACTCTACAAAAAGAAGCGTACCAAAATGCCACAAGTTGAAGTGTGAGGTTACAGAAACATCTGCCAGCAGTGCTGTAAAATGAAATTCTAGAACAACTATGCGACTTTTTTGACGTAGTTTTTTCTCGAATAATCACATTGACTTGTCGTAAGTTTACGAATGCAATCGTCTGCAACAAGGACTCCTCAAATAGTGGAACCACCCACGGCTACCCTAGTTCTCCCAGGTTTATTTTTTTCCAGATATTCTAGCCTGGTTCATTGCTAGGCGCGTGGGCAGCTTGCGAGTACTTTGAATATTATTCACTTTCATTGGGTGAACAAGACAAAATATTGCTTTTATTGAAAGAAAAAAATACCTCCGGAAATGGTGTGGCCGGTGCGCCCCGCCACTCAATAAAGTTCCACTTTTCCCGGGTGAGTGAAGGGGCTGCCGACCGGGTGGCTTTGCTAGACTTACAGAGGCCTTTAATTACATTGTAAGCGCCCGGCGGGGCGGCACCGACCACTTTCACCCCACGCGCCACAGACACTACCCGGATTGGTGTCGCCAGACTTATTGCATCATGTGGCCACACGCCAGCCACAGAACCCGTCGCTCAATAAAATGTGACAATAAAGTACTTCTTAGTTGCACTTGATAAAGTGATCGATATTCAATGGAACAGTACAATCTAGCAATTGCCTGATATGCCCTTTTACATAACCTTGTGAATTAATTTCATCAAACAGCACAAAACAGCATATCGTAGAATATAGATAAAGCCAACATTTTTCAAAATTTTTGTTTTGGACTGTGCTCTGAACGGTTTAAACTGCGCGGCTTTGTGACAACGTATGCTGATTGTTTGCTCTGTTTACAGCCATGAGCGGCATCGTCGGCCTGCCGGCCGCCCTCACCGGGTTGGCCGGGGTGGGCAACCTCGTGTCGAACGCCGCGTACTTCGTGCCTATGTTGGTGGCCGCCATCGCCTACTTCAACTACGACGTCATGGACCCCGAGTCAAGGCCCATCAACGTGCCCACTGAGGAGCTATGGCCAACGTACGACTTTATCATAGTGGGGGCCGGGTCAGCAGGTAAGACTGAATCCTTAAAATTATGCTTAAATGGTCTTGGAAATATTAACAAGTGTCTTGCAAATAATTCCAAACTATCCAAAGCACAAAAATTTCACCACAACACCAGTTCATGTTCTGCACTTTTTGTAGCGCAATAACAGAGAGGGTATCTGAAAATGCCCGTCCAGCATTGCATTCCCCACTTGAGCTTCTTCGTTCTGCCTTAGGCGCGGTCCTGGCCAACCGGCTGACCGAGGTGGACAACTGGCGCGTGCTGCTGCTAGAGGCCGGGCCGGACGAGACGGACATCTCGGACGTGCCGCTGCTCGCGGGATACCTGCAGCTCAGTAAGCTGGACTGGAAGTACAAGACGGAGCCCCAGGGTACCGCGTGCCTCGGTAAGCGAAGGGGCGTCGCACAGTACAAGTTTGAAATATGCATAATTCACTGGGAAAAGGGGCTATTTCGTATCTTTTGCAGGGGCGCTAGAGACATTTCAGTTAACGCTCTTGTAAAGGAACTAAAGAGCTCTAAAGGTGCTGAAACCAACTCGGCTGAAATCTACACTCTATATGTGAAGGAACCATTGTTCCAAAGAAGGCAACGTTTTCATGTAAATTTGAACAAATTATGTGTAAAACTTTGGACAATTTGTCCAGTTTTAAGAAAAAATTGTGTACCGTCTGGATGTGCACGAAAACGTCGCCCTTTTAGGAACAAAATTGTCCCTTTAAATTTAGAGTGTATGTATAAAGCCTCTGTCAGTTTTAACTTTCCTTCTGAGGCACTAACCCTCTAACAGCGTTAAAAGGTGTTACTGAAAAACTTCGTGTTCCTAACGCTGCCATGTCAACCCTGTGTGTCTGTTTCTTCTCAGGTATGAAAAACGGACGCTGCAACTGGCCGCGTGGCAAGGTGATCGGTGGCTCCTCCGTGCTCAACTACATGCTGTACGTCCGTGGAAACAAGAAGGACTACGACCAGTGGGAGGCCATGGGCAACCCGGGCTGGGGTTCGGAGGAGACGCTCTACTACTTTAAGAAGAGCGAGGACAACCGCAACCCGTACCTGGCGCGTACGCCCTACCACTCGCAGGGCGGCTACCTGACGGTGCAGGAGGCGCCCTGGCACACCCCGCTGGCCGCCGCCTTCGTGCAGGCCGGCGTCGAGCTGGGCTACGAGAACAGGGACTGCAACGGCGAGCACCAGACCGGCTTCATGATCGCACAGGGTAAGCTAATCCACCGTATCTGCTCGGGGGGATTTGGAGTGAGAGGTCATCTAGCTAACCACGCTCTCTTGCACGTCCTCCAGGCACCACACGGCGCGGCGCCCGGTGCAGCACGGGCAAGGCGTTCCTGCGGCCGGCCCGCCTGCGCAAGGGCCTGCACGTGGCCATGAACGCGCACGTCACCCGCGTCCTCATCGACCCCAAGACCAAGGTGGCGTACGGGGTCGAGTTCCGCCGGGACGGCACGATGCACCGCGTGCGCGCGAGCAGGGAGGTGATCCTCTCGGGCGGCGCCATCAACAGCCCCCAGCTGCTCATGCTGTCCGGGGTGGGGCCCCGCGACCACCTGCGCTCGCTCGGCATCCCCGTCATCCAGGACCTCAAGGTCGGCCACAACCTCCAGGACCACATCGGCCTCGGCGGCTTCACCTTCATGGTGAACAAGGAGGTCTCCATGGTGCAGAACCGCATCGAGAACGTGCCCGCCGTGCTGCGGTACGCCATGTTCGGCGACGGGCCGCTCACCGTGCTCGGAGGTAAGCGCCGCGAGGGTAGGCAACCCATCCGACTCCATCCAGCGCATGATTCACTCCCTTTCTCTCGTGCCGCCCAGGTGTCGAAGGCCTTGCGTTCGTCAACACGAAGTACGCCAACGCGACAGACGACTGGCCCGACATCGAGTTCCACTTTGTGTCCGGGTCCACCAACTCGGACGGCGGGCGGCAGCTGCGTAAGGCGCACGGGCTGACCGACACCTTCTACAACACCGTGTTCGACCCGATCAGCAACAAGGACGTCTGGTCCGTGATCCCGGTGCTGCTGCGCCCCCGCTCCAAGGGAGTCATCCAGCTGCGCTCCAGCAACCCACTCGACTACCCCCTCATCTACCCCAACTACTTCTTCGACCCGCAGGACATGAAGGTCCTCATCGAAGGCGTCAAGATTGGCGTGGCCATCAGCAGAACCAAGTCCTTCCAAAGGTGAGGAGCAGCGCATACCTGCAACAAGAAGAAAGATACAGTTAAACAGTATTCTGCTAAACTCTTTACACAATAGTGGTACGTTGCTATTCACGAATATCCGATGGCATCAACATAAACTGTGAAAAATTGTTGTAAATTTTACTGGATTTGTTTCCATGTCATAAAATTGCAATTGAAAATTGTAAAATTACAA